GCCTTGTGCCATACTTTTTGTAATTATACAAATATAAAAATTAGTTACTTTGATGAAGTCCATCAGCTGGTTAAACGCCTCGGCCAAGATAAGTTTTCCTTTTGTCATTAGTCATATATATATATATATATATATATATATATATATATATATATATATACATATATATACTGAATATTCTTTTAGGCATGTCTAATTAAATAAATTATGAACATTATGTCTGCTCATTTTTAGCATAACAGCGGATAACATATTCACGGATATTTTTCCGTGTATTATAATCAGTGATGCAAGAAAATTCACTGTAACAATGAAAATCACTTTTATTTCCCAAGTACTTTTATCTCTTTCTGAGATCATCATCATTGGTTCAACTAGTAAGGCAAAAACTATATGTGTTAATGGACTTTTTTTGCGTTTAAATCCAACGGGTGTATGTTTTGTTTAGTGTACATTAGAACGTGAAAAATTTATCCACTATGGATTTGTTTTCTTTTATGATGGAATGTCATGGCCAAGCGTGCATTAAAGTGTGAAAACTTTTCCTTTATAAACATTTTCGAACATTATTACAGTATTCGTGGCTGGTTTTATTCAATGTCGGCTTCATTATTTTAATGTAGTTTGCTTAGAGGAGGCACAGTGGAGTAATGGATAACGGCTTGGATTGAGGAATCGGAGAGCCGAGTTCGAATTCCAGTCGAATCCATTATATACCTTTGAGAAAGGTGTGAATCCTCTTCTTCTCCCTCCAGCCATGGGTAAATAGTAGGACAGACTGGGTTCTATAGCCTTGGATGGCAACTGGTCTAGGAGAAGGAAAAACTCTGAATTCAAAACCTGCGGAGGGTCGTTTGTGAACTCTGTAATCGGCCCTTCACAAAGTGTGGATAATCCTGCACAAAACCTTCACCACTATAATCAAATCTCGTGTGCTATACATGCGGGTTTGGGAACCGCTTGTGAATTCCAAATTCCCATGAAACTCCAAAAGAAAAATGGTGCAGATTCAATGCCGTTACAAGAACAAGAGAGAGAATTGCTTCGAGGATCTGTAGTTTTAAATATTTTAATTTTTTAATATTGAATATTGTCAAATTTGTTCTGTTTTTTTTTATTTTTTTTTTTATCCTCGCTTTCAAAGATATTAAACAATAATCTATCTTACTACTGATGTGTCAGCATTCACCTTTTCTTTCTCAGACTGATTTGTAGATTTGTACTTTTGCGTTAATCATGCTGTGTTTACGAAACTAATTAATTCTGAACAACTTAATTGCATTTCCTGTCGATTTTTTGATCGTTTTTTTTTTTTTTATCAAGAAAACGTCTTAAAATTAGATCAATAACTTTGTCTCTTTGATGTACGTTCCATATCCAATGCTTGAAAGTTAGCCGACTAAGATTCGACTACGTTTTTTTAAAAATCAAATTCATGTGAAGCAAGGTAAATAAAATCACTGCGGCACAAACGGTTACTGGATGATAAACAATTCGAAAACAGAAAACATTATGAAAGAGCGGAAATAACAGAAGAATAATCAGAAAGATAACGATTGACATTACATTTAAATTTTTGATCAAAGTTGGCTTGAAAGCAGGAGAAGGAAGATAGTTCAACAAGCGAGAAGCAAAAAAATTGCTAGCAGAGAATTTACAGTAATATTAATCTAGATAAATTGTAAATTGATGAAACATTGTTACCAATCTAATACTGTGCTTAAATTCATAAAGTCTGGTTACCCTACCGAAAAGTTGATTTGAACAATTACCATGAAAGTATTTATAGAAAAGTCTCAAGGAAGCATGTTTACGGCGGTAGGAAAATGACTGAAGTCGATATGCCAGATCCGGTTCAACAATATTGCTGATTCTCCTTTGGACTTCATCAAGAATCTCTAAACAAATACTATGAGCACCGGGCTAAATGTGGCAGCATTATTCCAAGAATAGTCGACTTATAGATCTCTAAGATATATTCTGGAGAGAAGAAATAGGCTATAGAACTCGGTCTGCCCGGCTATTTATCTATAGCTGGGGGGGGGAGAAGAAGAGAATTCATACATTTCCAAAGGGTCAGTGCGTCAGTTATGTGCCATGTGTGATACACGCCTCGACGATCATATATCTTTCGATACATGACTGACGAGGCATTTTTTTCCAGCAGTAGGTTTCTGTGATAGAGCAGTTGTCATCCAAGACTATAGAACCCTGTCTATCCTGCTATTTACTCATAGCTGGGGGGTGGGGGAGAAGAAGAGGATTCCTACCTTTCCAAAGACACAGTGAGTCTGTTATGTGCCATGCGTGATACACACCTTGACAATCATGTATCTTTCGATACACGATTGACGTGGCAGATTTTTTTTTCCGAAAGTAAGTTGCCATTTCTTTCTGCGATAGACCAGTTGTCAACCAAGGCTATAGAACTCGGTCCGAGCTGCTATTTACCCATAGCTGGGAGGAGAAGAATCGGATTCATACCTTTTCCAAGGGTCAGTCAGTCACTTATGTGCCATGCGTGATACACGATTAGGAGATCGTATACCTTTAGAATTTTTGCTAACACGCTGACGCATGTTCAAATATTCGCAGTATTTACTATTGTCGAAATTATCGATGACACTTTTGTTGAGATTTACAAACTCTACATTTCGTTCAACTTCGCAAAACGATCGGTTGAAATTTGAATAAGCCGACTTTTTATCACAAATACTTTGAGAAACCTTCCTTCGCGTTTCAATATTTTATTTTTTTAACTTAATTTTTAGGCCTTCATGGTAAATAATATTTTTTTAAGAACATTTCTTTTTTTTATCGTTTTCTTTTTTAAAAGCGAAGAATAAATTCTTAGGATTTATTTTTCTTTAGCATGCAACATACAACTACTGATCGCAAATTATCCCGTCAGAAAAAAATATCAGGACTTTTTTTAAAGATGAATCAGAAAAGAAAACAATGTTTACCTTTAACGTTCGAGTATATTTAGACAGACAGACACACACAGACATATATATATATATATATATATATATATATATTAATAAAAACAGACCACTTTAAGGTTTCATGTAATAAATTATTTCACCACAACCATTTTAAAAGGATTGCGGATCACCAGACTTTACTTTCAAAATATATATATATATATATATATATATATATATATATATATATATATATATATATATATATATATATTACTATATATATTTTGAACAATAAAAACATATTAAAAAATTAAATTCTTCAGACATACTGGGTTGTAGATTAATATTATTTTTTTTTTTATTATTATTTCATTTAGATTCCTCGACTAGTTTCGGCCAAAATGGCCAACATCAGGAGAAGAAATATTTCTGCTTGCTGATAGCAGTAAACTACAGAAATGAATGTCTTGATGGAAAAAATGAACATTTGTCTATTAATATATATATATATATATATATATATATATATATATATATATATATATAAAAAAATAAAATAATTCAGATTACCCTTTATTTTATTTATCTCAGCTATAATTATCGTATTGCACACTCTACGATTTAGCTTTATTAATTGCTTGATTTTTTTTTCTTTTCTTTATATTTTTTTTGGTGGGGGGACTAAAAGCTTAAGGCACTGGACGATTTGCTTCGGCCTGCTGGGATGTTTGTAGTTCTTTTTTTTTTTTTCCTCGTGTAACTGTTTGTTTTGCTATCCGAGTTTTTTTACCAACCGAGTATTACTATTAGTATATATATATATATATATATATATATATATATATATATAGATATATATATATATAGATAGATAGATAGATAGATAGATAATTTTGCATTATTCTTAATTAGATACTTGTTATTTTACTCATTTACTCATTAAATTGTTTTTTAAAATAGTGGGTGTATTTTGTATTTTAATTATAAAATTTTAATCTTTCAAAAAAAAAATTAATGAAAATTTATCGTGCTCAGCTATGCACACTTGTAAAACCAACAGTTATTGTACCCTAGTTTGTACTTATCCTTACCATCTACTTTCGATCGGTCAATGTATGGCCATTTAGAGGATGTGACGCACGAACCAAAGGAAATCATTAGATTTTATATATAAAGAGATTTCTAAAATGTTTCACTTTGACGTCTCCTTTTCCGTAGATCTCATATCACTACGGTTTGGGAAAAGGGACAAAATCATTATTACGCAGTTTCATATTTGACAATGTAAATAAAATCAAAGTATAAATAACCCTTTAAGAGTGTTAGAAATCAATTTGACACTGTATTTATTTCCTGGACAGGATTCCCAATCGTAATGTAATAAAATATCAATATTTTTCAATTTTGACAAAGATCCTGACTACTGAGAATACTAATGAATGCAAATATAGAAAAGATATTCCCCCCAAAAGATTAGCCTATTTCCAGTGTTCCGGTAAATTTAAATATTGCCTATGAATCTTTTGTGTTCATCGTAGAACAGGCAAAACATTTTAGTCAAACCATTTAACACCGATGAGGAGACTGCAATGAGGCCAAGATTTTGAAACCCGAAACTTTTGGATTAAATTTGGCATTTGTATTGCATATTGAGGGATGATATGTTAATGGATAGCTGCTCGGATTGAGGAATCGGAAAACCGAATTCGAATTCCAGTCGAATCCATGACATTCAATTACTGCTAATACCTTTGGAAAAGTTATGTAGCTTCTTGTATATATATATATATATATAAGAGGATTCATAACTTTATTAATTATTGATCATAATAACATAAATGAACTGAGATAAATAGATAGATAGATAGATAGATAGATGTGAAAATGATTGGCCATTCATGTTGTAAATAGATTTTACCAAACAGATAGATAGATAGATAGATAGATAGATAGATATATAATAGATAGATAGATAGATACGTACACACATATATATATATATATACATACGTACATACATACATGCATACATAGATGTGAAAAGTATCGGACATTAACGCTGTAAAGAAATTACATCAGACTGATAGATAGATAGATAGATAGATAGATAGATAGATAGATAGATAGATAGATAGATAGTTTCATTTCACCCCACTTCATATGAACACAGAAGGAACATTTTACTATATATGCAACCGGTCATAATTTCCGATATTTGATTCAAAAGTTTTTTGAGTGGTCTGGAAATGCTATTACAGATAATTTTTCTTGTTGACAAAGGTTGCAGATGTTACAGTGATTTTTGAAAGGTTTTGCTTTTTTTATAAATTCTACAGTTTACAATCGGTTCTTTTTTATTTTTCCTTTTAATTTCCACACATGGTTGGGTAGTCTAAGAGAATACCTAAGACATTCTAACTTAAAAATGACATGTGATTGTACCACCTCTCCTTCATATTACTCTCTGCATACCTTTTGTATATTTTCTGTCCATTTGTTTCTATTATTTCTGCTATGTATGTTATTTATTGCTTCAGCTTTGCAAAGTCCATCTAATGGATATCTATTTTATTTCTACAATTGCATATTTCACCGTCAACGATGTTCTGCTGCACGTTATTTTTCAAATTTTTGGCGTTTTTATTTTATTTTATTTTATTTATTTATTTATTTTTTTTTGTTGCTCCTAAAGTATTTGTTCAGGTGAACGGAGATGGTAAATTATGGTCCGTTGTATACAAACTGAAAAGTTCCTTTGGAGTTCATATGAGGTGGGATGAAAAAGAAAGTATGTATATTTCATTTACCACCCCGACTACCACGCTACCGATACATTTCCAATACACTTGACCTCCAGAACTAACAGATAATATTTGGATCTGCCTTTATGCAGAATAGAAAATGAGTCCGTGTTAAAACGTGATGTGCATATCTCATTTTCCAAAAGGTGTTGCTTGATTACTGAATACTCCCAATTTTCTTCCGAAATGGTCTTCTGACAGTTTCTTCCATTATGAAATGAACAAAGGTAAATATATATCAATAATATATTTTATAAATAGAAAAGGATGTATAAACATAAAATGTATAAATATATATATATATATATATATATATATATATATATATATATACATACATATATACATATACACATATATACATGTATATATATATATATATATGTGTTTGTGTGTGTGTGCTTGTATGTATGTGTATATATATATATATATATATATAAGTTCAAGAATAATAAATAATAGCAGGTCAATGTCTCATTAAGACTTAAATTGCTAATTAATTCTTTTTATAATTACTTCTTTATGAGATATATATATATATATATATATATATATATATATATATATATATATATATATATATAGGTTTTAATATATATATATATATATATATATATATATATATATATATAGGACCAAGTCATCTGAAGATTCACTGAGAAACTCGTGTCTCGAATAGAGCCGAACATTGGTAACCGTAGTAAACATTCGGTCGAGGCAATGTAGGCTTCGAGCACTTTAATTTTTTCTGTCCTTTTTTTATCTCTTTATATTTGCATTTTTATCATCTTTATTCGAGATTTCATTTTCAGAAATGTGTATATATATATATATATATATATATATATATATATATATATATAGGGTGTGTCAAAATATATTTTCAAACTTGTGGTGTGGGCCGGATTGCAAAGTCCATATAAACATATGTCCACAATCATTTATTTTTGAGCTATTATTTTTAAAGAATATTTACGCTAGATGGCGCTGTATTATTGCGTTGTAGACTAGATTATATTTGTTATTCGTATACATTTGCTGCTAGTCTGTCTTCACTGTTTAACGTGTGTACTAGTGAATTAAATGAGAAGTGTTCCTTTTAACAATGGAAGTATATTCATATCGTAAGCAGGCCGATAGAATTTTTTTACATAACGCCGCGCCAATGGTAATGCACGCGAGGCTGCACGGCTGTATCAGATCGCGTTTCCAAAGCAAAGAATGGATCGCCTAACAATGAAGAACACATTCTACCGACTGTCAGAGACGATTCATGTATCAGCACACGTCATATGTTTATACGGACTTTTGTCTTTGTATTGTTGTGAGGAACCCGCCCCCAAAGACTATTTGTGACGCACACCCTCTCTCTCGCTCGCTCTCTCTCCCCACTCTCTCTCTCTCTATGTATGTATATATATATATATATATATATATATATATATATATATATATACAACAATTAACTTCCCATTAAGGAATTGTATTACTGATCATGCAAAATACGTAAATAATTATATAAAAGTGGTATATATACAACATGCCTGGTCACATACACAAGTCCGGAAAATCCTCGTTGAAAACACAACGATACTTAAACATGAAAACAATAAACAAAAACTAAACAGTCTTGAAGCCACATCCATAAAACAGTTGAAACTTAACCTGAAGAAAATGAACTATGAAATCTCCACAAATATTCTTAAATCCATATAATTGATCACAGAAGTCATTGGTTTATACCAACGGCTTCCCATACTTAATACTTCGAGAATTCACTCTCGCGTGCTCATGTGTGACGTCGTGAGCTGCTGTGCGATTTTCGCTTCCAGCATCTTGTGTTCACGAGTTTGTCTTTGCATGGAAACTTTCCATGTAAACAAAAACAGACTATCCTTATTGTTTTGTCCGTGTATTGTTTAATATATTGAATATATTGAAACTGTCATCTTTGATAATGGATTATGTAAGCCGAAAGCTTAGATAGGATTAAAAAATATGTATCAGTATAGTGATGTTATTAAGCTTATCCAAAGATATGAAAATAATTTACATAAAATAAATCGATATATATTATTTAATGAAACATATATCCATGACAAAATGCTGCCTAAATACACACAATCTCTCTCTCTCTCTCTCTCTCTCTCTCTCTATATATATATATATATATATATATATATATATAGTGTCCACCCCTTTTTCATACAAGTGGACTCGCCCAGTGTGTACTTGTACTGCTGCCGGTGAATACCCGATAGAGAGGCGGGAGATACAATGATACAGTGAGAGTGTGAGGTAACCGCTTTGTAGGAATCACAGTTGCGAGCACGTAGACTCAGAAGGAAGTCCTACTTCGATACTAAATTTTCCAGACTGTATATATTATTGCTACTAACCGCATTTCTGGATCTACTAACCGTATTACCAAATGTATTATTACCTCAATACATTTATTTGCTATATTTCATTCCTGCGTTTGTCATTCATTTAAGACCGGATTTCATCTCGAAATCCATAACATATATATATATATATATATATATATATATGTGAATATCTTTAAATATACCCGGCTTTATTATTTTCTCTTTTATCTGCATACACTGCAGATATCTATTAACTATGTACACGTGAATGTAACTATAGATTCACGAGAATTAAAATCGATTTTCTTATTTCTCTCATGAAATTCGTCTATATTGGCGTGACGTTTAGTTTTCTGATTGTTTTCGTGTGCCTGGATGAAGATAAGAACAGTCATATCTACGTTGGTAAGAATACGTGTGTATGTAAGTGTGGCACGTTCAAAACGGGAGAACCATAGGCCCTACGGGGAAAAGACTTTAATAATGTCATTATTAGCCCGCTAAGAGCTTTTGAAATTGCAATGCAAATAGTTTATATTTATAACAACACTTGATGAAATAGCAAAAATTCAAACTGGAAATAGCAATAAAAATGGGTGAAAATTGTATTTCTTGACGAGAAATGGAAATAAAGAAATAATCGAGAAATAAATGTAAATGATGAAAATATTATCTATACCCAAAAGCCACAACATGACTCCATTTTTTTTTTAAATAACGATATAAAAAAAATGAATCTATTTAATGTATTTACTATTTTTTTTACATTTCTTCATCAACATTTTACATTATTATTTCGTCTTCTGTATTATACGTTTCCTGATGCCAATTTTGAGTGCAATTATGGAGAAGCAATTAATTGTAAATTGACATTTTTTTGGCTGGTTTACTGGGTTTTTTGGTTGTTACGCCGAATTTAGGATGAAGATCTATCGGTGAATTATAGGTTTTCTTTTCTGTGGAAATTTAGATAAACACTTCAAGTTTGAATAGAAATTCCTACGTTCTCAACACATGCATAAATAGGTGTCATCCATTTTGGGAGCGATGCTCAATTTAGTGAGCGTGTGTACTGTGTGACCGTTGCATTCAAAAAGACGTCGAATAAAGTGTTTCTTTTGTTTTGTCTTTTTGAAATGATGTACAAGACCCAAGAGCTACTCAAAATAGAGTGTTACAGAGTGAGAGGCACAGTTTATGGAGAGATGTACAGACGATAACGGTTAACCCTAGTCTTGAACAGGTTATGTTTTAAGTGATCGGGGAAGCATCCTCTTGGGAGTCGGTTTCACAAATCAGTGATCCTAGTGTCCGAATTTTTCAATCAAGTTTTTTTTTTTTGTTTTTCATGCTCTACGACATCTGAGTATTTTTCCCCAGAACCAAACTCGTCAATGAAAATGGTTTTAGAACAGGGAATTTATTAAGAAATTTGAGAAATAGCAGAGGCCGATGCCGTGAATTTATTATGACTTATTAGGGGAAAGGAAAAAATATGTTAGAAAATTTGAGATACAATTGAATAAAAAAAAATTACCTTAATGTTATCAATAAATCTTAAAAGTTAAATAAAATAGTGTTTTGAAATTTAAAATAAAATATTTTGCTTCAAAGATCATTTTTAAGTGCTTTTAACTGTTCTAATTTAAAAGCAATTGTTTTTATTATATACACTATAAGTCTTCTCACAGAGAGTAAAATAGAATGAGATGACATTAACGAGGGGAAGCGAGGAAATGAGCAATAAAGGAACAGAAAGACAGAAAAAAGGATGCAAGAATTCAGAAGGGATGTCCACAGGCGAGAATTGCGAGAAAATCAATAGAATAAAATAGACGGTTGCATCTAGCTAGTTCAAGAGCTGAACGGTGGGACCTAATTGCCAATATAGTAGCACACTAAAAATCTATCCAGTCGATTAAGGAAAAAAAATCTATGTATCTGATTAAGGGAAAAAAATCTATGTATCTGATTAAGGGAAAAA